TTGACATCAACTGAGCCAGCCATCAGTGCAACCGCTTGTTCAGTTGCAAAGACCGTTGAGCTTTCCGCGTTGATGAAGACTGCCGATCCAACATGGGACGGTGTCAACCTCGCCATCTGGTCCGCATCGGAACTCTCGGTCGGTATACTTGTCGCGTCTCTACCTGCACTCCGAAAGCAATTCGACGGCTTTTTCCGCCGCATTCTCTCGTCAACCTTTCTGGGAATGGGATCCAAGACAGGGTCTGGTAGCAACGGAATACCACTGTATAACGTGGGCCCACCCCTTACCGTTGGCAGCCGACCAACTCGAGGTCGTTCGCGATTCCAAAGAGACGACCTCGATGATGGATATAGTGAGAAGTGCATATTGGACGATTCAGAGCTGCCTGGAAAGCGCGAAATAACGAGAACGATCGTACATGAGATACGTAGTGAGAACAGAAGCAGCGTGCAGGTCCCAGATCGGGTACACAACATGTACCGCCAGCTTCAGTGAGCCTCCTAGGCTTGGCTGTCTTTCCATAGCGTTTCAAGAGTATCCATTGTTGAGTAATCGGAAAATTGTCGCTAATGCGCGTCGGTCTCCGTGGCAGTATTGCGATAGTTTGAGCAACCTCGCGAAGGAGTAAGATTATGGCCGAAATTCGACAGACAGGTCCAGGTGGATGTTACGCTGTAGTGCGGGCGATCTTCACGTCACGCAGTGCAGCACACGATTGAAGTAGATGTCGATATCCATGACGTCATCCACGGCGAACTCGGGGTCCCGACCGTTGTGTTCTCGCCCATATTGGAGTGCGAAGAGGTGCGAGGATAGCGATTAAACAGACCCTTGTGTGTGGTACGATATGCACGTAACGACATAAGTGGTAACGCAGCCTTGTTCCGAACAGCATTGGTATACCGAGAAACCGAGAGGCCGTTAGCGCGTGCCGCGGACGCCGAGGAGGCAACCAGCGATTTCTTTTGGCGAACATTAGATAAAGCAACTCGATATCGCATACAGAGACGGAACAGTTTCATCAATACATTGACATCAATTCACAATACCCAGCCATATTCCACAATCAACCATGACTTCTCCCGTTCTCGTTTTCGGCCCGACTGGAGCAGTAGGCAGCGCCGCTGCCACTGAAGCACACGGGCGTGGTGCCAAAGTGTACCTCGCCATGCGCGACACGAAGAAGCCTCTGAAAGGCATCCAGGAAGAGGGAAACAGCGACAGCTTTGTCCGCGTCCAAGCTGATCTGGCCAAGCCCGAGACCATTAAGACCGCGGTCAAGACCTCTGGTGCCAAGACAGCCTTCGTATACGTCGTACATGAGGTCGAAGACGGCATGCGAAGCAGTTTCGAAGCGCTCAAGGAGGCCGGCGTAACCTACATTGTCCTCTTGTCTTCATTCAAGGTCGAAGATCCTCTGGACTCAGAAGCCAACAAGACGGATATGATTGGCGCTCTCCACTCCGCAGCTGAAAGCGCATTGCGAGAGACTGGCGTCTCATACACCGCCGTCCGACCCGCATACTTCAGTAGCAACGTTTTCTGGTACATCGCAGACATCAAGCAGGGCGAGGTCGAGCTCCTCTACCCCAACGTACGATTCGATTACCTCGCTCCCTCGGATATCGGCACTGTGTGCGGCACACTTCTCGCAGAGCCACGATTCCAGAAGGAAGCAGGGCAGTCGATCTATCTGTGTGGCCCTGAACTTCTGACCCAGCGTGAGGGTATGGCTGTGATTGGCAAAGCATTGGGGAAAGAGATCAAAGTCAAGGAGATTGACGAGGAGAGGTGGTTCAAGAAGCTGGCGCACATGCCTAAACCTATACTCGACACACTGGCGCGGGGAATGCGGGAGAGTGACGCCGGGAAGGATGACTATGGGAAAATCTACAAGGATGCCGTGGAGAATGTGAGGAAGTACACGGAGCGGGAGCCGACGAAGCTGGAGGACTGGGTCAAAGAGAACAAGGCCGCGTTCGCGTAGAATGAAGCTCACCATTAGTTGAGATAGTAAACACCCGAAAACTCCCAGCTGCGTCCTCTTCTGTATTGCGTGAGACCCTTGAACGAGACCAAAAGCAAAGTGATCCGCGCGAAGTGGACACAGTCAGATAGAGTTGGACACGTCAGTCCAGGTTTGGACATAGCGCCCGCACGCGCGTGATCCCTGCATGACGAAGACAGGTGCCGATCACCTGAAACCCAGCAAGTTTCCGTCATCACGACCACAACCCAAACCCCACAATCTCCCTTTATTCTTCAAACCACGCACGACTGTCACCCGCGATAACGAAACATAACTACTACGAGCCCGAAACCCAGGACACCGGCGCAGTCATGGCAGCGAGCATCGAAGCATCGCCGCCAGCGCCTCCAGTGCCGTCGAAACACGCCCCAAACGAGGCGCATGCCCCGAGCTGTCCGTCATGTGGCAGTAGCATAGATATGGCCGAGCTGCAAGACGCGAGGCAAAGGATAGAGGAGCTCGAAGCGCAAATGGAGCGCCTGAAGGAGAAGGCTACAGCAGCTGGTACGCCCCCATTATGCGTCCGACGTCATATCACACCCGAGCCCACACATACTAACACCGTGCTAGTCGACAGATGCGCCGACTACGAAGACCAAATCCGCAGCCTCCAAGCGACGCAAAACGCCCCTAAACTGCCCCGAACCCAAACCTCACAATCCGACATCCCCAACCCATCCTCACGCCCCTCCGTCGACGCCGATCCCCCACGTCCCACAACCGCAAACTCCACAAAGGCCTCCCGCTTCTCCTTCATCACAAGTCGCTTTCCGTCGCCGGCGAATACAGGGGGCATGCCTCCGCCTCCACCACCGAAAGACCCGTCCCACGCACCACCGGTCGACTACACCCTACTCAACGAGCTTGAGCGCGAGCGTGCCCTACGCGCCAAGGCGGAAGCACGTGTACAGACTGTAGATTCCGAGATCGAAGAGCTGAGCGTACAGTTGTTTAGTCAGGCCAACGAGATGGTAGCGGAAGAGCGACGGGCGCGAGCTAAGCTGGAAGAAAGAGTCGAGACTTTAGAACGCAGGGACAGGGAAAAGATGGGCAGGTTGGATCGCTTGGAGAAGGCTGTGACGAGAGTGGAGAGAGTCAAGGCGCTGCTGGGTGAGAAGGAAGATCTGAAGAGAGAGTCGGTTAGCAGCGGGTTGTTGTCACCACCGGCTAGGAGGTGATGAGATGTGCGGCATTGTTTCTTGTTGCTGTTCTTCCGTGTCATTTGTTACGATACCCATTTAGTTTTGATCTACTGCATCTTAGCGTAGCGTTTGGCGTGGTTGGCTTTACAGTGGGTGCATTTTTCGGTGTCGGCGGTCGGTATCGGTATCTAGAGGGGTGGATCATCCTGAAGGAAAAGCGAAAGACATAGCATGCATTAACTATACGACATTGTACTCTGCATTAGCCACACGACATGATACTCTTCAGGTTCTGTGTGACAAAATGCAAGCATTTCTTGCTTCATGGCTGCCCGGGCAGAACAGATTTGATATTCGTATGTATTACATCACAGCAACACATGAATGAAAAAGTTGTAAGCCAATTGACCACAGTTCCGCCCGGCATAGACTCGACTCTTAGCAGTAAGACACTTGATTGTGCAAATGGATAGCGCCCTGGTCATTGGCCATCCGCGATGCTACTAATACCCCACAAAGAGCACAATACCTTCTCCCAGCGCAAAGGAAAGCCAGGCAACACTGCGAGCTAGCCAAAGCCGCTTACTCATCTCGTTGCTCTTCCAGCTTAAGCGGTTTCCCACACGACCAAACACACACCCGCAATTTCGAATATGCGCGCCGTCGCCCCTGCCATATTCTCTCATCTCGTAGCGCCCTTTCCACTACCCGGCCAAAAGCTCCGCAAGACTCATAGCACTGCCACCGCACCCATAGCATCCATGGTTTCTCACAACTGTGCCCGTGCACTCTGCCCTATGCTTTCCAGAGCTTCACTGCGCATTCATGGTGCAGAGGAAGGCATTGCTACTTCTCGTCTAGTCATGGTAACCTGGTCCTTGCATCGTGTCATGTGCTTTGCGGTACTCAGTATCTGGGTGAATGGCTTCTGGAATTTCGCATATGCGTCTGTGTGACGGATGATGGGGAGTTGATGTGGCGTGTATTGTCTTGGTTTTCGAGCGCTGAATGCAGCTTTGGGCATACTGCGAGCGCGATTTGAATGAATTGAACGTGATACGTGACTTTGTCGCGTTGTAATCGCTGAATAATGGTGTCGATTCGCCTCGAGTCCCGCGAAAGAGCAAGACTCAGTCGCTTAGATCCAGTGGCCGCTTTCGCACAAAGACATTTCAGTCGTCCCTGTGACCCATATGTGTGGAAACATAGGCATCCATATTGGTGTCGGGGGAGTTGGCCGTGAAAAATGATCCTGTAGTGACAATACCCTCAGCTCTTCCAAGGTTACGCCTGAGTTTGCCATTGATAACCGTTCTTCCATAATCATAGCAGCGACTCAACTTCCAGTGTTGATGTCCGTGACATGGTTCTGGTGCTCACATGTTGGTCGTTCCCTACTATCTCTTTTTTCCCATTAATAATGTCTTGCTGAAGACTCACAACCATTGTGGAGTCCTGTTGCGCCTTCGTTCTTATAAAACGCAGCACATTCCTCTCTTCCCTTCTCTTTCTTTTCTTTAGCAGATATCCGACTCTTGACTCTACACATACCAAGTTAGATATCAAGACTGTCTTCGAACTTACCTTCAAGACATACAACACCATCACCACCTCTGCTACCAACACACTACTACAACCACTACTACAACCACTACTACAACCACTACTACAACCACTACTACAACCACTACTACAACCACTACTACAACTACTACTACAACCACCATCACCAACACAAAAGTAAAGTCAAGTACTTTACCTTTCACCTTCAAGTGAGCTACAACTGGTAACTCATAAACCCAAAACAATCCTAACAGCAATTCAGCATGGTCCGCAAATACTGCAAAACCAAGTTCGATGGCGCCGAACAAATCGCGGCTGCCACGGCAGACAAGGAGAGGGCCACTCAGAAGGCCGAAGCCCAATTCCATGCCCGCCAAGCCCCCTCCAGTCATGCTATTGTTACGTTTCACCGAAACAGGAACGGCGATATGTTCAAGATCATCGTCAACGGCATGGGGTGGACGGAAGAGCCAGTTCCTGCCGAGAAGCAGGATTTGGCGTTTGGCCACGTTTGGCTGCCTACTTGGCCGAAAGGGAACGCAGGGCCTTACAACCACTGGTCTGAATATGGCCAGAATCAGTCCGAGTTCATCCTGGTCATGGATGCGGATATTGGCTTCAACGAGGTCAATATAGGTTTGACTGAAGAGATGAGATTCCTCCAGCTTAGGGAGGTCAGACTTTTGGAGAATCCCCTCGGAAAGTTTTTCGAAGGCGTTGCGTCGACTTCTCTCGATCCAGCTCGAGAGTACTTCACGATGGCCCCGGATGGTAGTATCCAGGCACATCCTGCCCCTGCTCCCGCCCCTCAAGAGCAGCCCGGCAACCCCGCTGGAGACTTCGTTGGTCTGAGCGGCGACCAACTCGCGGAGATCCCGTTGTATGAGGACGACATGGGAGTCGAGCCCTCCTCTCTTCCGTCGTCTGGTCCTAGTTTTGGAGGACCCGACTTTTTCTCTGGCAGCGACAAGTCTACCCCTTCGTCGGAACCCCCGACTAACAGCACGTTTGCCGGCGACATGGCTCCTGGATGGTACGAGCCGCTACCTACCGCTGCGTTTGACGCCGACATGGCTGCTAACGGCCTCAGCCCAATGCCGTTCGATCCGTATGCCGGCTTCATGCCCGCGAAGCCATGAGTTCCGGCTTGAGTTTTGACAGCGAGGACCTCCTGGCATATGTTTGGCGTTTGGGAGGATTGTTCTTTTTTGGTGGCTATTTTGGGGTTTCTTTCTTACTGTTTGCATGTTAATTCTGGAAATACAAACACATCATCGCCAATTATAGTCAGCTTGCTTCACATGTGATGTCTGACATGCATACTTATCCTTTAAGTTCGACTACCTGTAGCAGACTACTAGTATCTCCAAAGACACAACAGCCGATCATAGAAGCTCGTAGATAGGAACGTCCGTTGACCCTGACTATTGAGATCTGGCTGAGAATCACTTCCGTAGTTCATGCTCTCATGCTCCTCGAACTTGGCCAGTACCTCGATCTGCCAATCTTTGGAAGCGCTCTTGGTGAGCCTGACGATCCTAGTGCCAGCATGCATGCAGCTAACAAGCAGTAGAATGGCCTCTGGCGGCGGCTCCGATCTCCATTTCTCTACGCCGTGGTGCGCTGGTAGCTTGGGGTTTCGGTCCAGCAGCTTCAACCGCCATACGCCACCACCGAGGTTGACTTCCGCAAGAACCTGACGACGGCCTGAGATGGGTACGTAGAGAAGCCGGATATGATCATCGTAGCTGCCAGTAATGATCAGACCACCTTGGCTGTCCAGATGTACTGGGAGAATAGCAGTGACACCAGCGCCGTGTATCTTCCCGTCCATCCAAGGCACACTTCCTCCAGATCCGTCAGACAGCTCCGCGAAACGAAGCGCGCTGTCATCTCCACCCGACAGCAGTCCTGAGCCATCCGGTAAGAACGCAAGGGTCCAGGCTTCCAAATCATGCGATGCGACTTCCATCTTCGTAGGCGCATCGGACTCGTCTTCCGTATCTATGACACCGAGACATACCTGTCCGTTCGACAGCGTCATACCGACCATGAAGGACTCCGGGTGCCAAGTGAAGGCAGTGATGAGTACATCTTCTGGGAAGTATTGGATAGTCTTGATGTGGGCGATCTTGGGGTCGCGCTGCCACGACTGGAGTTCGTAGATCGCGAACGCACCTGTCGAAGTCGCAACGCCAAAGTTGGAGCTAGTGACATGCGTCAAGAAATGTATGTCCAGGATAGCCGATGGTGTGGACAGCGTCTGGACGATGTGGCTGCTCCAGGTTAGTACTCCGCCTAGACACGCGCAATAAATACAGATAATCCGCAAATAACCCTACGTACACTATATCGCCATCAACGCGTACCAATATCAAACTGCCATTGCGCTGCTGATTTTTGGCGCTCACTTTGCCATCGTGTGGAGCGCTCCCCGCGGACTCTTTCTCGTCCGACTTTTCGAGGTTGTACGTGCCGATTATCGCATACTGCGGATTGAGCGGGAAGAACTCGATACAGCTAGGAGGCAGATCGAGCTTGAAAGACGTGAGAGATTGTATCGAAGTCATGTTGCGGGGATGGTGTACTTTTCTGACAGCCTCTCATTTCGGTTAGTGGGCTACGTGACTAAGCAGAACCAGAGTGACGCAACCCATCTCGAGCTCTCCTTCCTCAAACTGCGCGCCGCTGTACTTTGTGCACATCGCGATTGCCACGAACGTAGACGATGCCAGTCAATGCTCGTCGAATAATCCTTCACGGCTCCGATAGCGACTGCGCCGTCGAATTGATGCCTTACTAATCCCTGATATCGCGACATCGCTGCCTAGACTAGTCCCAAAGCGAACAACACCTGACCACGCGACTTCCATGACGAAGTTCTATTAAAGTAGTTGCGTACACGCGTTCTAACGTGTCGTTTCAATCTCATCTGCGTTGTGATCTATCTCAATACTTCTCAGATTTACTCAACCCGCAATTGACTTTCCAGCCATTCGCCATGACCGACATCAGCGCTCCAGCAGAGACCTTTGCGTCTGGACGTTACTCCAAGCGCAAGAGGACTCAGATCACATACCACCTCGATGAGCTGGACGTCTCGGACTCAGAGTCGGACTTTGACACGCCACAAGCAAAGGTTCGATGCACCTCTGCGTGAAATACAAGCACTGAGACTGACGAATCTACTCCAGAAGCGTGTAGTCGCGACAAGTTCCCGCCCGCTTCCCAAGCGCAAGATCTTCCCCTTCCTCAAACTCCCCGCCGAGATCAGAAACATCATCTACGAGTACGCGCTCACCGACCCCTCTGGCATCAACCTCGTTGGCGTGTTCAAGCACAAGCGCCGCAATGTAGAACGCATATCCGCCAAACTGCAAGCTTCACTAGTCGAAGGGTCCAGCTGGTCGGACGCACATCGTATGAGCAACAGCGTCCGGAAGAACCAAGAAGAAGAGCCAGCGCCTCTCGTCACGTCGCTGCTCGCAGTGAATAAGCAGATCCACCAGGAAGGCGTCGATATCCTATATGGTAAGAACGAATTCATCTTCACTGATAGCTTCGCGTTGTACAACTTCATGATCAACCTCGGTCCCAACCGTTCCAAAAGCCTCAAAACGCTCCGCATCCTAGGCTGGCTTCACGGCCGCGCTATGAAGGCCTACAATCACTCCTGCTTCGCTGTCCTTGTCTGGGCCACCAACATAACCGCCTTCCACATTGACTCCCAGATTGGCTGGTACCGCGCGTCCAAGTACGGCGCCGACCAACTTTACCGCGACGCATTTCCCTGGATGGAATCTGTGGGTATGGCGCAAGGCAAAGTCGACGCCGTTGTCGACATCATCAAATTGGGCGAGGAGTGTATACATGGGCATCACGACTATCGTCATTCTCAAGCAGCGAAATCGGGCGAGGAGAAGTACGAGGAATTCAAGACGGCGTTGAGGAAGTCGCTGGGAGCACAGCGACAAAGAGTCATGGCGCCGACTAGTCAGGTGAAGAGAGTTAAGGTTGTGAAGAAAGTGGTGGAAGATGAGGAGTGAGTATGAACGGAGATGCTGTTTGCAGAGCAAACCTGTCGAGTTTATAAGACGTACAAGCGATACCGAAGAGACGGATGTGGATGCAGCGCAAGGCTTCATAGGTTCTGTTCGGAGTTGGTGGTCGAATACGTGTATGATTTCACGCGCCTGTACATGAAGCTGTCAGTCCTCATTACTGCGACACGACGAACCCGGCATGAGTGACGGCAGAGAAATAGAACACTTCGTATTTGCTACCCGCATTCAGGATCAGATACTAGAGATTTAGATGACTTCGTATTTCATTACACACATTCAGAACCATCTAGTACCTCTTACAACACAACCACAGTCTATTAGTATATATGTATGCAAATCCACAGTACATTGGGTATTAAGCCGTCCATCTCCCAACAAATAGACAGACAAGACACGTACAGAGACCAACCAACCATCATGAGACATGAGCTTCGTAAAGCATGACATGACATGACATGCCGACATTATATCCACCTCCCTCACTTGAGCACCAACCTCTCCAACATGACCCTCAAAGCATCTGCCCCTTCCTTACCATCGACCCCTAATTCCCTCTCCACCCCACGAACATGCTCTTCCGTCTTGCCCCTCAGCTCCTCAATAACACCCTTACTATATTCAAAGCTGCCCTTGCTCTCCATGTATCTAAGCGCATACCGCTTCACTTCCTCGTCTGTAGTCTTCTGTTTGAGGATGTTGATGAGGATTTGGTTGCTTGGATCGGCGCGGATGGCGTGGATAACGGGGAAGCTGAATTTGCCTTCTGTAAGGTCTTCGCAGAGGCCTTTGAGGGTTGTGTAACCGGATGTGGGGGAGAGGTTGAGGTGGTCGTCTAGGATTTGGAAGAGGAGGCCTATTGTGGAGACGAGGGGGGTGCAGTCACTGGGCGTTGTTAGCTGGGGTGAAATCTTGGGGTGGAGACGTCGGGCACGTACATGTCTGTATGCGACTCGGCTTGCATGAGCTTGATTGCTAGTCTGAATAGACCCCCGGTTTTGTTCCCTACCATCTCTAGGTAGTCTGCTTCGCTCGGACATGTCAGGCTGTCCCTCCAGTATAGATCCATGCCCTGTCCGCGGTGCAGGTTCAATAGCTCTTCTGTGAAGATCTCGATGAGCTTGGGGTTGTTCATGGAGAGAAGCAGGGATAGCGCGCGGAAGTAGACGTAGTTGGCCGAGTTGATCGTTTGCGGGGTTCCGAAGATAGAGTGGGCGACCGGGATGCCGCGGCGGAGGATGGACGAGTCTTCTACATCGTCGACGCTGGAGGGTGTTAGGCAAAGGAGGGGAATGTGGGGTGGATGTGCTTACAGTAGACTCGCGGTATGCAGCATGCCCACCACTTTTGTGATAATCTCGAGTCTCTCTGGCGGCACTTTCAACCACAGGTTGAAGGCTGCGATGCACTGACTCCGTATGTCCTTGCCGGGGTGTCCATACAGGTAGTCGTAGGGCCCCAGTAATATGCGCTCCTTGCCCTCTGTCCACGCAACCCCATTTCCGTATATGAGCTCCTCGCCAATATCTTTTGCATGTTCTGCGGGTGGTGACAGCGGCGTCGGGTAATTTGTGCTGGCTTCGAGGTTCGCGCCGGCTTGGGTGTTGTCCATGGGCGAGTCCATGTCGGTGTGCTCGGTGCGGGGCGGCGAGTTCAACTGCGCGGCCATGGTCTGCGGCCGAGGTTGTTGCGTAGACACGTTTTGGGCAGGCGCGTTGGAAGGATCCGCCGGATGGCTCGTCTTGCTTTTCTTGCTCTGGCCGAGCCAATCAATCTCGCTCAAGGGACGCAGCACACTCGTTCTGGAAGGCTGCTTAGCAATGCTCGCGTTCAAGTTGAGGATGCCCGTGGAGCTGGTGCGGGGCGGGATGGCGTTGGGCGAGGCGAAGGGGTGGTTTGGGGAAGTGGCCGGCATGATGTCGAGGAGCGCGGAGGTGCCGGACGGTGTTTATACAAGGCGCACACCACTACGCGACCCTCCTCTACTTTGGTTGAGGTGCCTGGCGGGCACGCGGCGCCGAGGCTCGTGACAATGCAATGACGGCTGCTGTGAACAGATGGGGTTACCCTCGTAGACG